ACATCACTAAATAAATATTAACTTTTCGAGCAGGGAAAGGATATTGACATTAGGTTTTAGGTAGGATTCACTTAAAGCCTGCATAATGCACTGTTGAGTGGTTTGAACAGGGTCATATTTGCTTGTATATGTGGCAAATAATTGCGTATTTTGCTGAAGCACGGTTTAAAATGTGAAACGTGGGTTGATTTGTAAATATTTAAAGATAACAATGATGAGATCAGCACATACATAGTAGAAATAATAAAAGCAATTGTAGTTATTTTTTTTTCTATGATAAGGTAATTTTACTAAGGTTTAATTTGTTAAATCTTATATTGCTTATAACATGAATTGTCTCCGTAACGCTCTCTCCTTTAACCAGTGGGCGATTACGCTAAGGATAAAACAGATTTAAAAGTAAAGCGTTTGGCCCATTTTTTTTTCTTATACCGACACTTCAAATATTAAGAATCTTAAAACTCCAAATAACTATCATATTTTTTTAATCAATAAATTATAACTTTCAGAGGAGGCACCATTATCGAGAAGCTATGTCCTGACGGTATGGTTTTCAACGACTACAGCCCACAAGAAGAGAAATGTGACTTGCCATTCAACTTAGACTGCTCTGCTAGACCTAAGCTCCGTAAGTATTTTCTTCATATAATATGTCTTACATTTAATATAAATCACAACAATCACACTATCAATTGATGAAAACCGTACAAAAATCTATCTGTTGCTTTTTGAGTCTATAGCGTACAAACAAATAGAGACGAAAAGATAGGGTTACTTTATTAGATTTAATCCTGTACCTATTTCTCTTTCTACTCAACTTTATTTGATACTACCTGACTTCATTACATTGTCATAAAATGTTTGTTGAGTCAGACAGTCCCCATATTAAGACGAAGGAAGACTAAAAATATTAACTAACAAGTGTCAGTCAGTAAGTCATTTCAATTATTATAAAATACTTTTCAAAAACCTGTCTAGTACTATTAAATAAATAAATATTTAATTATATTTATTATAAAAAATAAGAAAGAATTTACAAAATCTTGTCTAGTACTATTAAATAAATAATAAATATATTTATTTAAAAAAAAGGAAATAAAATCACATCGACTTATTTTTTTGCTATAAGGAAAAATGATTTCGGTGAACTTAGGAGTAAGATTTGTAACAAGAATCTAAGTGTTTGCTATTTTCGACCACAGACACGTGCAGCGCCACAGCACGTGTTTGCTATTATGTAATCAGATAGGGTTGTCACGTCGTCAACAAATTCTGTTCTATGAAAATATTACGTCCAGTTTCTACCAGCGAGCGGCTTCGCTCTGTTCTTTTATACTATATATCTTTATGTACGGAATTCGGAGATCAGATCAAATTAGTTTGTATCAAACTGACTAGAAACATAGGCACATAAATGCACAAGCATTTTGCCCACAATGAGGAAAATGCTCGTTATTTTTTCGTAGTAATTGGAAAAGAACATTTTCACCAACTATTTCATGATAAATCATTTTGTCAACCCTAAACAAAGTCACAGAGTGACTGGTTAGTGACATCATTAGAATACAGATTACACACAAATGCCGTAGGTCAACGGAGCTGGAACAACTTTCACAACTCAAGGGAAGCGCGACCTTGGAGCAACGCGGAATTTATTTACTCTGTGACTCCTCGTATATATTATACATATATGGATATTTGTGCGTCGATTTTACGAAGAGGACAGATATTTATAAATTATTTTTAAATACCTATATATAGGTACAGCAAAAATCTAATTAGTAGAGTGAAATCTTCAAAAGATATGACTTTTTTATTAGAACTAGAACAGTATCGTGTCTTTGATAATAATGATGCAAGCTTTAGAATCAGAAAGTAGTCATTACGTTTTCTCTGCAATTCAGTATTATACATTAAAGCATTATTTTCTTTTTCTTTATGTTGGCGACAACTTTCTATTTTCAAGGGAAGTGCGACCTCGTCAAGTGACGCAAGTTAAACAATATGTTTTATTAAAAGCTATTGGAAGAATATAAATAAACCTTTTCTATATGATTTTATAAAAAAAAAACCAGTATCGTTGCGTTACGTTGAATGTCTCCAAAATTCTAAATTTGAAACCTAATCAGTTTTATATTTTGTATTCAGTTTATAGTTGGAGTTTATCATCATACTGTATAAATTTAGGATCCAAACTGCTGTTTAAAATATAAAAACAATATTGGTTTGAACCTTATTAGCATGTATTAACAATTTACTTTCATTATTAAAAAGTTTATGTCTTAATTAAAAGGAGTATTTGTAGGTATTGCAAGTAGTGTTTGCTTTATTAGTTTTACAATAAGATCTAAGACGAAATTACCTATAAGTTCTTAACTATAAAAATCAGTAACATCTTTTGGTAACTTTAATAAAAATATAACTTACTGGTAACTAAGCCAGCAGTAACTATTTTCTCTCTCTCTCTCTCTCTCTCTCTCTCTCTCTTTCTCTCCGTGCTAATTTATCCTCAATTTCAGTTTCATGCAGTAAAGTGCAAGTAAAATTGAACCTCATACACGGCACTAATTTAGAAAAACTCTTTAATAATCAGAAACACCAATCCCCGCGCTGCACTGCCCTCGTCAGAACGGTTACTTCTCCCATGAAGACCCCAAGGAATGTGGCAAGTTCTACTACTGTGTTGACGGCAAGTTCAACATGATCACCTGTCCTGATGGCCTGGTGTACAACGACAAGACTGGCATCTGTACTTGGCCTGATGAGGCCAAGAAGAAGGGTTGTGGTGCCGCTGGTAAGTAATTTATCTTTGTGAAAATTTACTGATCTATGATCACATAAAAAGTCTACTAAAATACAATTGTACTAAAAAGACATCCGTTTCTATTTCACACTTAGTTTTACACAATTGTATCAGAAATCCGTGGTAGTAGCAAAATTTTTACTTCATCAACTCCTTTAAAATCTCATTTACAAATATTTTAATAACTGAATTAATTTAACTCGTTGAACTTATTTAAAGATATGATCAGATAGAAAGACAAATCAGATATAATTTTGCTTAAACGAAACATATTTCTATTCTACTCTTTATTTTCCTCATCTGAATCGGAAAACCATGTGGTAGCAAAAATTCTCATTCATATATTCATACATTACATACATACATTCATACATTATTTCAAACTCTCATTCATAAACAGTTTTCCTACCATTTACCTTTTTACAGAGGTATTCGCCTTCGACTGTCCCCCTGTGAACGAGACCTTCGGTCTGACCCACCCAAGGTACGCCGACCCTGAGGACTGTCAGTTCTTCTATGTATGCATCAACGGTAACACCCCTCGTCGCTCAGGCTGCAAACTTGGACAGGCTTTCGATGACGTCAACAAGAAATGCGAGTGGGCCAGGAAGGTGCCCGAATGGTAAGGAAAATTTCACTCGTAATCTTCTTAAATATCGGAAGAATCCTAGAATTGGAATTGAGCAAATGAGCACCAGTACTTAGTCAATCACAACTATTATATTCTTGAACATCCTTAGACGGTATGTTATAATTTTTTTAGAGATGGCTTGTTATTACTCGTTTAAAACAAAAAAAGGTAAAGTAACGTGTATCTTAACAATCACATTACGACAATACTTTTGTTATTAGCTCTTAGTATAAAAAATCTCAAACTAATTATACATTCCCTGCCTTTTACTTACATATTCAATTTATGTTTCTAGCGCTGACTGGTACAAAGGACAGCTGACTGACGCTGAACTGGAAGCTCTAGAGAACCCTCCTACTCCTAAGCCTAAACCCGCCGGCAGCGCCCCCTCTCGCCGCAAGCCAATGAGGCCTCACAAGGCCAAAGCGGTAGAAGTCGACGCCGACGAGGAATAGAGCATTTAATATAATTTAGCTTAATAAAATAGTTTTGTAAGGATAATACGGACATTTTATTTTTAAATCGCACTAATATTAATCTTTGGGAAGAAATATTTTAAATACCTTTCTAATAGAGATCAATCGGCCCTTCTTCTTCGTCTTTGAAAACCTTTTACCATTTGGCATTTTAGTATATTAGTCTTCTTATTTTCTCCTTTTAATTTTGCCCCACATAATCATTATCTCTTTTGTAAATGTACATAGTACATACACACCACACCTAGACCCGAAACAATTTGTGAATCTCATAAACACTATAATTATGTTTTCCACCCCAGTTTGCATTCGAATTTCTAATCGGCCTCTTTTATTTTATTCGAAGGCATAATAAAGCCACGAGTTGATAATTCGTATGTTTTCAAATTTCAAAACCAAAAGTTAAAAAAAGGTTCTATAGCTTTGATATTTTCTTAATAGAACTGGCTGCAAATCATGATTTTTCGTAACGTATTCTGGCAAGTCCCAGTTTCTGTATCACTCGCTCTCTGTATCTTCTTTAAACAGTAGTGAGGACATAAGGGATTAGAAGTTTTGAGACCTTAAATATCATTACAACTTATTATTTAGGGAAATAAGACTACACATCGTATAAATAAAAACCAAAATGTAATAATTATTAAATATATTTCTCTTCTCTCATAACTTTCTATTTACATTTCCACTATATCAGCAGTAATATTTACAGAAAAAAAACTCTACATGAAAATACATAAATTTGTCGATTCTATTGTTTAACAATAATGTCTATGGTAACTAATATCACTCACGAATCAACTGTTTTTGGCAAATCATTCGTTTTAACGTGTTTATACAGGATCACACTGAGTTTAGGTATAAGGAATAAATAGCACTCGGTGGAAACATATTTCCAATCATTCTGTGACATTAAATTAATATAAAAATAGTGTATCACAAAACGAAAACGGGTTTTTGTCTGTTTAAGTTACAGTGTAGTAGTATAAGTGTACAATCGACAATAGTGTTTCACACTGGTTTTGTATCTTGTCAAAAAAGTACATAGCTATTGATAGGGCTCAAAAATAAGCGAGTATGAGTCCATGAAACAGTTTTGTCGATAAGTGAAACCAAATACGAAGACCAAAAGCAAAAATGGTCGTGGTAGGTGTAATTATTATTTACAGAATTTTACTTGACGTTACTTAACGGACGATGAAGTAAGTAATATTACTCATTTCGTAAACATTTTTACTTTCTGAGTAATATTAATTACAATTCTTACACAACCAATGCTCCAACCCTTTTAATTATCCTATTTTCTTCCCTATCGTTTTCGTCTTATGATACAAATTTCCTTGAATCCTCTCACGCATGTCCGCAGTGAGGGACCAGTTCTGGGTCTTCGCAAGTCAGGCTCTGGTCATCAAAGACCTTGTCTTCTCCACAGCTGATGAGACGAGGGTGGCCTTCCACGCATGTGATGAGCCTGTGGCAGTCTCCAGGGACAGGGAAACGCGGGAATGGCCAGAACTTGGCGGCTTGTGAGTTTGCTGGCACTTTAGTTGGGCATTTGAAACCGACGACAGCTGCAGAAGCAATGTTTTGGTTTAGACTTATATATAATCGAAGTACTTGAAAGTGTATTACAACGCCATCTATCTTGTACGCAGAAAAATAATATATTTTATCTTTTGCACTAGATGGTGTTAGGTGTAGTGAAAGTACTTGTGGGTTCATTGTACAGACAACAGTTTTTACATTGATCGGAGTTTAAAATCAAAGCAGGAATGAGAATTCGAAGTGTTATTAGTATAGGAACGAGAAACCTTATGTCCTCTCTCGCTCTGGATTTATCGAGAGAAAGTGACTAAAAACCACCTGGTTCTATCTCCTGCTCTGAGACGGGGCCACGCTACTTGAGCTTGCACCCGCAACCCTGGCTAATCGGCCTCTTTTATGAGGAAGTAATTATGAATCTGCTAAAGACAAATACATCTACTGAAGGTAGGTACTTACATTTGTAAGAAATTCTTTAAAGTTTTATATAATAGATACCTTCAGGGTTACAGAAAGGCTGGAGGAGATCAGGCCAGTTGCAGCCGTGGATGCGCTCGTCGTAGACCAGACCAGGGGTGCAGGGTTCCTGCTGGGGGATACCGTAGGCACACTTAATGTAGCTGGTGGAACACTCGTTGCTGTCAGGGTAGATGCCGAACTGGTACTCGCAGCCGGGAGTCGAGAGAGGAGTCACTGGAATTGTATAAGACAAAGATTATTAGATATTCGACTATTTGCTTGAAAAATACGTAAATGTTTCAACTAACTATTAACTTAAAAAGTGCTAAGTCAAACTATTAATTAATCAGCTGTGTACAGATGATGACAATGGAATGATTTTTCTTTTACTTAAAGTAAAGCTATATTTTCAATCCCGAGACTTACAAATTATTATTAGAAGCTGGTAAAGTTAATAAATTCACTTCCTATTCAAGGAAAACTGATGAAAAGTGTTTGTATGTGTATGTAACCCAGGAGAAACAATAAAAAATCACAAGAAGGAACAATAATAATAACAACATGAAGAATAATTACTCAAAAACTCAAGTGAGCCATGCTTCAGCACGGTCACAGAAAACCGGCTAAAAATAACCACTGCGTTGTATTTCGCCGTGTGAGTGAGGTTACCGGAAGTCCAATACTTCCCCTGCGCCAACCCCAAAATCTCCAATCCCTAATAACCAAAAGGTTGGCTAAGCACTCGTAACTCTTCTGTTGTTCGGTCTCTGATCTCTGATCTGATTACTTACCATTAGGACTACCTAATGGTAAGTAATCAGATCAGAGATCGAGCAAACGAGCATACGGACTACCGTATGCTCGTTTGCTAATCTATCACATAAAAAAATATAAAAAGAAAATAGTTACAATCAGCCTTCCTGGTGCCACAGTCGACAGCCCAGTGGTAGTTGCAGTGGTTGTGCACGGCGCCCTTGCCGTCGAACAGCAGGCCATTCTCACAGGTCTCCACAGTCAGGGTGCCATTGGTGCACAGGAAGAACTGGTCGCAGAGCTCGGGATGCGCGTATGCCTGGAAAATTGAGAAATAAATTGTTATGATATATGTGAATACAATTTTTTTACCATTAAAACACGCAAATTAGGTATAATTTATAGCCTATATATAGCACTCAGTAACTTTGTAGATCATCATCTGTGAAAGAATTTTGGAAATCCGACTAGCAGTTCCGAAGATTACCCCATATATACATACTTACAAAATTAACCTCTAAATTTGCAAACATTATGTGTATGTGAACTCATGTAATAATATGCGAAATTTCTCTAAACGTAGGTAGAACGAGATACTTCCAGGAATACATATTTAATACAAAAGTAGTTAGATTGTGTGCAAAAATAAAATTACCTGAACTCCATACTGCTCAGGGCACGCAGGTGCATGCTCCAAGAGGATGCCGGCGCTGGCTGGAACAAGAATAAACAAATATTTAATTTTCATAACTAATAAAGAAACTTTTTAAGTATGGATGTGAATGTTTGTTTATTACTCTTTTACTTAAAACTACTGAACTGCTCTGAATGAAATTTGGCATAGAGGAAAATTATAGTCTGTTATTAAATTGCCTGCATGAAAAAATTTAAACGATTTTTTTGATTTGAAATGCGATGAAAACGTAACACTAATCAATAAACAAATAACTACTTTTGGAGAAAGAATCCCATGCTTTTAAAACAAAATTATTTAGCCTTAGCCAAACAAAAACTTTTTTGATTTGAAATGGCCAGTACTACAGAACGGCAATTTCATAGGTAAAGACCTATTATATAGACTACTTTTTACCAGCACACAAAGCCGCAGGAAGAAGATAGTTTGTGACATTTTTATGGGCAATCTATCTGTACAGATATTTCATCGTTACTGTTGACACTGTCAAGTTCATTCTTCAGTTAGTAATCTATTTGTTATAAAATAACCGGTATCTTGCTATGTATCTACTGACAATGTCCGCCGCTATTCATTAGTGCTGATTGCGATTGATAGGCTGAAGTGTCTAATTACTTGAGCCTGCCTTTTCGCAGATTTCTAAACACTTTATCGTTTGCTGTAATTATGTGGTTGAAGGCAACATGTGTTCAAAGTTATAGGTACTTTGATACATTAATTACAGAATTGTGTTTTGCTGTGTATGGGGGTTGAACGCTTCTTATATTTCTGTACTTAAATAATTGTATCGCCATCATCATCATCAGCTGGGACTTCGTCACAGGGGACAACTAATTGTACAATTCAATTGATTTCGAAAGAAATGTTTATTTAATTGCAAATCGATAGTTTTTATGATATCAATTTATTGGTACGTTATATTATTATGTACCTATGGCAATACCTTCAGGGACAACATGGCTTTTTTTTTTTTTTTTTTGTGAGGGGAAAATCATCAAATGACTTCTCCCGCCCAGGGCCGGGCAGGAGGGAGTGTCAGACTCTTACTGACTAAAAACCCCCCTGTTCCTTCTCCTGCTCTGTGCCGAGGTCGCGGTACCTTATTGCGCTTACCCCGCAGCCCCGGCTGAACATCAGCCCTTTAGGGCCCCGTCTGTGGTGGTCTATTGGCTCTTTGAGGCGCGCGCGGAACGCTACGCGCCGTACGCTCGGGCCTGGTTCTGGTCGGGCGGCGAGCTGCCCTTACTCGCCGACCGCAGGCCCGTACTTACGGTGGCCGGAGATCGTCCCTCGATCCCCGACGCCCGTAGTGTCGCCATTTGCGGCTGCTGGGGCGTGAGGAGGAGGATTGCTCCCTCACGCGGGCCGCCTCTCTCTTTGCGAGCATGACCGCTTCACAAAAGGAGGAGACGGCGTCCCAGTTCCTCTCACTCCGCACCATGGCCTCGACTAAGGCCGGGCGCGAGAGGTCGCCGCCGCCGATCACTTCCCTGAGGATACGGCGGTGCTCAGCCCAGGCAGGGCATACCGCTACCGTATGCTCCACCGTATCCTCTAGGTGGTCCTCACAATGACGACACTCGGGCGTTTCCTCCCGCTGAATCCGAAACAGGAACCTACCGAAGCTGCCGTGCCCGGTAAGCACCTGCGTCAGACGGAAGGTGAGGACGCCGTGGCGTCTCTCAAGCCACTCCTCAAAGAGGGGTCTTACCGCTGCTATGGTAGCGTGCCCGGAGGGACAACATGGCTAAAAGTTAAAGTTAAGTCCAAAATTAAAAAAAAAACAATGTAAGCCTAATATTGAAACCTTCGCAACAAAATATTTGCGCTACATTTACCAATCAACTCGAGTCGAACGATCAAGGGTTGGCAAGCAGTAATTCGAGGTTGCACTTTCGATGTAATAGCATGCGTGTGTTAAGTGCGTTGAAGCGTGACGTGTTGCAACCCTATTATGCGGTGAGGTCACCGACAGTTGCCCGCGAAATAGGTATGTAGAGTTGTACTATAATCTGTACTTTATAATATCCGATTTTCGACATCATATCGAAGGATTAAAATTGAAAATCGAATAAAGGAATTTTAAAAGGTGTAGGTTAACCTGCTGGCCAATTCAGTACTTAGCCTAATTGTTCCACAGCCCGTCATTATAATTAATTGCTTGTATGAAATCTGGTTTAATGAAGTAAGGTTGAGTGAATTTGATCTTTATTGTTTTCAAGTGTCTTGCCTTTGTGTAATTGGTTATAATTTTTGACGTCAATTTTCAGGTCAGTCCAGCTGAATTAGCCATTAAACTAATGGCCTGAATATGTAGCCGTTTGATTGCATAACTAAACTCATCCCTGCCTTTAGTTAAGGGTGAAGATATTTTTTTAGTAAAATCAAGCTGTTCTGTTAACGAACAGAAGGTTTGGCTATGCAGGTCGCATAAAATCGAATTACTACTAGAAAGAATCATTAGCCAGGACTGCACTGCGGCATAATTTATTTAACAAGTTAGGAGTGATTAAAGTGCTTGGTAGCTTAGTCTAGTTAACTTTATACTTGATCAATGAGGCAAGACTGTAGTTTCATCAATCATAGGTACATGGTTTATTAGCCTTTATCATCTAATTAGACACGATTTTTTTGTAACATTAAATAATATTTTCAATTATTTGAATGGCGTGTCTAATTGATAAGTATTAAACATGTTAGCGTTTGCTCAATAAATTAATAATTATTCTTTATTTTAGCTCGCGACTGATTTCTTAAACTTTGTTTATGAAATATTACGAACATAATTATAATTCCTTTGCCGGTAAAATATTAGGACGATACAATATCCGAGATGCATCTATTAAGATATTACTTGATGCAATGTTTTCATCAATGTATTTAATTATATCTATTTATTTTTAGATTGTCAACTTTAACATAATTCTCAGTATTTGCTCAGACTGAGGAATGTAAATTCCATTAAAATTGTTCAACTTTTGTTTCAACATTTATCTATAGTAATATTATGAAGAGGTAAAATTTGTAATTTTGTAGGTTTGTATGTAGGAGGTAATCTTTGGAACCGCAGGTTGGATTGCCAAAATTCTTTCACTGATTGATAGCTACAATGCCCCTGAGTGCTATATGCTATAAAACATCACGCTACAATCAAATGGAGCTGAGCAGCGAGTAAAACCGCGTGAGAGTAGCTAGTCTTTTTATAGAATAGGTCGGTGCATGAGCAAGCAGATTACCATAATCATGATTAATGGTAAGCAATCACCGCCCGCAAGAGTTGGAGGAAATGAGGATAAGAGATGGGGGAGGATAGATTCGGCCTCTGCTCTGGTGACCACACTAGCACGGCAAAAAACAACGTAAGCGTTATTTCACGCCAATTTTCACATAGGTCAAGCCGGCAAAGTCGTGTCGATGTGTAGAATTCCCAAACACAAGCTGACTTACTGTTTATTGAAGATAAGTAATCACGATTGTCTAACAAGGAACAAGGATCTTAATGACTCCGTGTTCAGTTTAACAATATGTTATGCAACTTTCTACCTCTTCCGATAACAAAGGTTAAGCGTGAGAGGTCAAAATTGTACTACGATTCTTGCCTCACTTTCTACAAACCTTTAAAGACTAACTAACTAATAAATTTAGTTAACAATGTATAAAGGAATACCTTTTATTTGATAATTTGCGTAGTGTGAACTCGAGTATTTGTTGTCCTGGCAGCATTAAGCTGGGTGCTAGCCATTTTGGTCTGTTGGTCAGTTCTGTGTTTTTGGTGTATCTAATACTAATATTATAAAAAGGTAAAATTTGTAAGTTTGTATGTAAGGGGTAAACTTTGGAGCCGCTGGTTCGGTTTTCAAAATTCTTTCACTGCTAGATAGTTACAATGTTCCTGAGTGCTATAGACTATGAAACATCACGCTACGATTAAATGGAGCCGAGCATCGGGTGAAACCGCGCGAGAATAGCTAGTATTATATAAAAACAAAACATGAACGTATTAAAAAAGCGTGCTTATAAGAGAATTTTCTTTTATTTTTTTGGAGATGCCTTGAAATGAAATATATTTTAATGTCATCAACACAAATTTTCACTAGTTTAAAATTTTCAGTCAGCTACATTAAATCCAGGAAATATGCGATTTCTATTGCATATTTTTAATAATTTACGATACAATATGAAAAGTTTTTTGATTACAAAATACTTATACAGTCCAAGAGCTCGACGTTCATTTCCAAACTTAACATACTAAATAACTTAACATATTCAAGTAGGGAAATGAAGCGTTACGTGGGGTATCATTACAAAACTATAATTTACATATTTTAAACTAAAACACACAATACGTCTATAACTGACCACGTAAGTGAAGGAAGTCATTTCACAAGAACAAAGGAAGTGCACGAACGAAACAATTGCATCGATTGCATACAAGTTGCCAGATGAATTGTGCACTGATTTGTATAACAACTAAGTATGGCCACGGTAATATTATGGCCGTTGACTTCGAAATGAGTTTTTAACATGAAAATGTGAAAAAGATTGTGTAATAATGTAAATTGCAGAAGAATTTACTTTTTTGAGCATGGGTGTGATTCTGTAAGACTTCATTCTAAACTTCGAATCTGAATCCGCTGTGAGTAGTAGTACACTAGCGCTACACTTGCGAGTTGTACTAAATTGACAGCAACATTTTGATAGATAAAGTATGAGATGACGTTAAGAGTGGCATTCTAAAATTTAATTTCCCCGTCACTTCGACACTCACTTCGCACTCGAACAGGATTCAAAATCAAACAAATTTTATAGAATCGACGTGCATATCCAATTATTAATTAACGACCCGCTCTGGCTTCGAACGGTTTCAATTATGATACTAAATTCCTCTACTATTGAATGGATGTAACTATACATATTAACCTTCCACTTCAATCATTCTATTAAAAAACTACATCAAAATCCGTTGCGTACTTTGAAGAAAGGGTACTTTCAAGATACTTTTTAATCATATGTATATTTT